TTTAATCATTTTCTTAAAAAGAAATAATTGTTTTAAGTTCGACCTTCTCCGGTCTTGATCAACGGTCACATGCAGTTTCCAAAGACCTTCTTCTATATTGTTCGATTATTGTCAACTATATCCTGTTACAAAACGTTTATTTTATCCCCCCCCCCAAAAAAAAAATAATGTTGAAAATAGTTGAAATATCTTTATATCATTAAAATGTTCACCGCAGGAAACCATTTTACTTGTACGAAGTTTGACGGAAAGGGCCGAAAAAATGCGATTGGTATGAGAAGATGTATCAGTCCGCACTCATGCGTGTTTTGAAAGGTAATGAACTCATAGACAGTACAAAACATCTGTATATGAATGAAAGATAAATATTAACGTACAAATACTAAAATTGAGATCGTTAAATTTTACAAATACAATTATATTACAATGATACGCGCGGCCACGGACGTTAATTGTCAATTAAGGCGCTTGGTACGTCATACAAAACAGATTACATGCATAATTATATACCCTGTGTAAACCATTTCTCATGTTATTTATGTTGTTGTTATTGCTATAAACTTTGTAAGTTTAAAGCGGAATAAAGTGTATTGTATTGTATTGTATATATTTGTACAAACTGAATTTCAGAATTATTTTTTTGTAAGCAAAACTTACGCATGTATCTAAAACGCTAGAGACATAGAGTTATTTGGGAGCTGATTTTTATAATCAAATTGGTTTGAAAACAAATTGATCAGTAATAAAATAAAATAGTCCTATTTACCATTGGAATTTATTTCCAGTCAAGTTGTAACACGAACTAGAGTTAGAAAAGTGATGAGTTTTAAACTAGTATTAATATGTAATACGGAATAAAATCGGGACAAGTGAAATTATATGAGACATGTACGCGTAGATTAAAGATGAGATAAAAACATACATAAAAAATATACGCCTTTTTATACACACAATTCAAAATAAAACATGCATAAAAAGAAACTTACCTCTGAAGGTATTTTCTCTTCCATCTTGTAATTTGATTACTTTTTAAGTATATAAATGATTTAGGCTATTTGAAAAATTAAAATTTATTATTTCTACTCAAGATGAAGTGTTTCCGTTTTTAAACTATCTTATCATATGACATGATTTGTTTTCAATAATAACTTGTTTATCTGCTTAAATCTAAACCAATATACACATGTATGTACATAACGTAAGACCTTGGATTTCAAGGTCGCTAATAGTCAAGTCAAGTCAAGTCAAATTTCCTTTATTACACACATTTCATGTTAACATGAATAAATGTGGTTAGTAATAAGTACAATGTTAGTAGAGGCTCTTTAAAAAATGTACAATGTATAAATTATATAATTTGAGTGGTAAAATAATTCTTAAAAAGAGTATTTATTCATATCATTTGCTGAACTGCAGTACGTTCAATTAACAATGTATCAAAACCATAAATTGTTAAAGTTCTTAGTAAATATGTTACCACAAAAAAAAAAAAAAAACGTGGAGAGTCACGTAATTTAGACACTCTCTAAGGGTATAATTTCGTTTTATATTACCTTTCTTTTTATTTATCGACAAACGATGAGAATAGTTACAAAAAAAAAAAAGGGAAAAGAAATAATAATATAAACAACTGACAAGTGGTGTACAATTATGTACGACATAATATTTAAACCTTTACAATGACATTATAGACTCATACTTATAAGCTAAATGAAAAAAGTGTCATACTATTTAGACAGAATATTATAACAAACAAACACTTTACTATGGGTAATAAAAGATTAATCTGTGAAATATTCGTTGTAATAGTCTTGGAATGTAATGTAAGTAATCACATATGAGGTGAATACTAATTTGATTATCTTAAAATTATTGTTTTAACAAATTTACATAATTTCAAATATTCGCTCTTTTTTTCTGTATTAATTAGTTGTTCTAGTTTGAATGTATTTGCACGTCTGTAATAATAGGGTTTCAAAATTTCTTTCTTTCATCATTAAGCAAAATACATTCAAATAAGTAATGAAATTCGTCGCCTATTTTATTGTTACAAGAAGTACATGTTCTTTGAATATCTTTGTCAATTTATATCACTTATTACGTCAATAGTCTATTGTGCAGGGTAAAAAAATACAAGCATAAATAATTGTAAAAATGAGTAGATAATTATATTGATTAAATATATTGTAAAAGATCGTATTCCTTTGCCCCTTTAAACATTGTTAAATGTTTTACGCGTAATAAACTTCGCATCCTTCCATATAAGCTGGGGAAAAAAAGCCATGGTTTGTGTCGAGTTAATAAGCATTTACAATAAATATAACAATGATACGCACGCCCACGGACGTTAATTGTTCAATTAAGGCGCGTGGTACGTCATACGATATATTACAATACATTTATATTTGTACAAACTTGATTTCATAAAATTTTTCTTATTTTTTTTTTTTTTTTTTTTTTGTAAGCTAAAACTTAACGCATGCATTTGAAACGCTAGAGATCTTAAGATCTAAGGTGGAGCATAGCGTTATTTGGGAAGCTGATTTTAATATATCAGATTGATTGAAACTAATTAATGGATAGGTAAAAAAAAATAGTCTTAAAAAACTAAAAAAAATAACCATTTGAATTATTTTCTAGTCAAGCAGTAGTAACACGAACTAGAGTTAGAAAGTGATGGGTTTTAAACTAGTATTTTTTTTTAAATAAGTAATACGGAATAAAATCGGGACAAGTGAATTATATTAGACATGTACGCGTAGATAAAAGAAAGACTCCACATACTTAATAAAAAATTATAATTAAAATTTAAACACACAATTCAAAATAAAACATGCATAAAAAGATTCTTACCTCTGAGTGTATTTTCTCTTCCATCTTGTTTAATTTGAATTACTTTTTAGTATATGAATGATCATGCTATTTTGAGAATTAAAATTTATTATTTCTACTCAAGATGAAGAGTTTCCGTTTTTAAACTATCTTACATATGACATGATTTTGTTGAATAATTACTTTTTTTATCTGTTTAAACCTATTTCAATAAAATTACATAACACATGGCGTTGGATTTTTCAAGGTCGTAAATATTGTTGTCATTTATTTTATTACGCAGTTACGTCAATGATCATTTATGCGGGGTGAAAATACAAACATAAAAATTGTAAAATGAGTAAGATAATTATATTGATTTAATATATCGTATAAGTTTGTGTTTCTTTGGCTTTAAACATTGTATAATGTTTTACGCGTAATAAACTTCGTATCCCTCCATATAATAGTAGAGCTCAGACTTCATGAACTGGGGAAAAGCCGTGCTTTGTGTCGATTTGATAAGCATGCTAATAAATTATATAAAAGAAGTGGCAATGGTGACAAGGGTTTGAAATTTCAGAAGCAGAATTGCACAATTATTTAAATAGTTAATTGTCAATTCCAAACTACAATTATGTACATAAGACTTTATTATTTCTGTGTATTTTAATTAAAATGCACTCAAAGAATACACATTTTATGGTTTATTCTTTGTAAAAACCATTTCTTTATTATGATTGAAGGTGTATGCTTTAGTTTGCCCGTAGATCTATGTATACAAAAGAATGAAAACCGTAAAATAATTTAGTTTGCATAATCTTTTTTTCATGACAATCGCAGGTTGAGGAAGTAAGAATAGTAAGAACTAATACACTCAAACGGAAACAGTATTTTGGTATACATGTAAACAAATACTCGTAGTTATTTAATCTTTAACCCCATGAGCATATTGTGAAAATGGCCGTTTTCATTGAAAAGCTTCCTGTTACAAGTTCAAACTGCTATGAAACTACGAAAAAATGTTTCAATACTGATGAAACTTGGCACAAATATTGACTAGATCATAGCCTCTGTAACAGCATGCTCAATCGTAAATTTCATGTTACCATGGCAACGGGGGGTACGTCTCAAAATTGCCAAATATCACTATTTTGCATTGTTTTTTCCCCCATCAAATCTGATTTCAAAGTGCTGCCAACTTCTCAATGAATTGATATAGAGTAAAAGGCTTTTTCAGCGTCAGTTACTAGTTACCCTAAGACCGACATGAGGCCATTTTTAGCCTGTCACATGTCCAAATTTTTCTTGGCGATGAGGGGGACTACCGCCCCCTTCAATTCCCCCAACAGAAGGGGCAACCCCCTGATGTACCATTTTGATGGGGCGGAGCCGAAAAAGTGGTCACTTTTTTAAACAACATTTCTAAACAAAAAAACAGTACATTTGTATTTGGGGCCTAAATAGGACATTTTTCACTGTTTGAGGCCTCAAAAAAGGGAGGGGGCAAAAAGCCGTCAAAACACGTCTATATGAGGGAAAAGGTTAATGCTGGGAGAAGTGAACTAATTAAGTTTATTTACTAAGAAATATTCTCAAGAACATGAAGGATGAATATTAAGTCATCAAATAAAATTCTGAATGAGTATCACAAACTCATTGAATAATTGAATATATAACTTCTTCACGATTGTATTTTGTTCAGCAAAAAAATTGTATTGATGGGTTGTTTACATATAATTTATTAACACCATTTGAAACCTGCCAATTAAGAAATTGAATGTTTCTCATTATTTCTTATATTAAGTGATGGAAAACGGACCGTTCTTGATATAGGATAATTTGATTTAGTTCTTCAAAATTCTGTATGCATCAGATTCAATCTTTCATATCCAACTCTGATGATGATTTTGATCTACACAGATTTCCCATACATGTATATAAACACCGGTCAGTTAATTTTAGTTGCTTGAACGTCAATCCATTCTTGATTCTGTCGGAAACACCACTATATTTTTAAGGGTACAGTATGTGTCATATTGTAAACCAAAACATTTGAGCTTCCATTGATGCGTTGCTGCAAAAATTTGTCCCGCATTGAATATGGGTTCAATAAAAGCCGTGACTCACGCTAACACGGAATTTTACTCGGTGAGGAACGGTTTATACACCAATCTTTTTGGGAGCCAATCAAATCTCAGCAAATTTATTTGTTGAAACATGGCGGACAGTGGCGGTCTTGAAATGTTTGAAAGGGAAGAATTTGATATTACACAAATAATACGACTTCAGGTAACATTGTTTGTGTAAAGTACAACTTGAAATGTATTAAAAGACACATAAATCTCCATCTAATACAAAAACACAATGTCAGTCAACTTAAAATAAATTTATACTATACAGGTTTCTTACATTTCCCAAACAAATTATCTAAAAAGCTAAGACTAAACTGCAGTGATTTTTAATGTAATTTTTTGCGTTTAAATGTTATGATATGATTGTGATGACATAAATTTGAAAAAACCAACAACAACACTAAGGTTTTTTTTCTAAGATTTTGGGAACATGACCCATGTCACCCAAAGGGTGCTTGGACTCTAGAGTGGTTGGACCAATGCTCGGCGCATAACAATGCTCGGCTTAAAATATATTTCTTTAGAATATCTGAAAATGTTGTCAAGTTATCTCCGATTTAGGTCAACGGTGCTTTGATTTACATCTTTCATCATTTTGTCTTGGTGTGGTTCACTGCTGGTGAAGTCACGTGACAATGCTAAAAGCACGATGTACGACCGTATGTAATCCGCAACATGTAAATTATTAAAATCTTTTAACAATAGAGTTCTGGGGCTGTAAAATTTAAACTACAAGTTCAGGGTACTTGTAAATGCATGGACCTTATGCAAACCCAGCAAACACCCGACGTTGACCCAACGTTGGATCAACGTTGAATTTTGGTCGCGACGTCGGTGACCTTCATACAATGTCAAATCGACGTTGAATCCCCGACGTCTAATAGACGTTTCATTTTGACGTCGACTCGACGTCGGGTTTTGGTCGGTAATCTGACAATAGGTGAATTTGATTTATGAAACCAATATATATATAAATGAAAGCATAAACAGCAAGAATTTTAAGTTTAAGTTTAGCAAGGGAACATTATATATTTATTTTCTCCATCAAAACAACAGTATCACGTGGGTGGCTAACGTACGATATTCGATAGGTGGCGCTCTGTAAACGGATAGACGCAGATCAGTATGAAATGTATTTGCTCTATTTTCGTTTAAATAATATCTTATCTCCTCGAATTAGTCTAAAAAGTGTTTATATAATTTACAATGAAGTTGTTATCATTTTTGAGGGCTTCATTTTATAGTGGTAAATAATTTAGTAAATTCGAATATGCGACTTATCGTATTTGAAATTCAATTGTATTGGCGGACAAAAAAACGACGGGTTGCATTGACAGACAAAGTTGTATATATTCCAAACAAAAGAAAAAGGTAGGCAAACATTATATATGGTTTTTCGATGCTAATTTACCGCATGTTTGCATGGATTCGATGGTTATTTGATCATTGAAATGTTTGACTGGCAAAACTTAATGTCACGTGATTTCGCGAGTTTCCACGTAAGAACACTTTATCATTTGCTATAGAACAGTCTGTATAATCGAATCATTTTTCCCACACTATATTGCCATGCCAAATAAATGCACTATCAATGGTAGGAAATATCCTAGAAATTGAAATCAATAAAAAGTTAAATGCAGTACGTAAGACTCTTATTATTCAAATGCTGGTAAATAAAATGTCCTCTTATTTCTTATCAACATGAATTTCCCTTATATGAGGGGCCAGTCATTTACACATGTTATACATCAGATGCAGTTTGATTTTGATATCTGTGTAGTTGTTAAACTACTCGTTGTTAATTGAAGAACTTTACCCATACTGTTAGCATACCATGTGTTTCTTATACATGTATTATGATAATGATTCATGGCATTTGATACATGTAAATGATACGACTTTGGTAAAATATATCTGAAAGCACATTGTATTTGACTAGCTATCTTTTTATTAATGTAATCAAACAACATATTATCAATCAGAAAACACATTATCATAGTTATAAATCAATAAAAGTAATAGTTTGTTAATTAGCCTGCTTATCAACAAGTTGTATGCTCGTATCATAAAACGTTTTTACACTAAGCCAGTCTGTCCTATATACACTTAGCAGACCAGATCATGCTGGCAGAGATGATATCTATAACAATGACAGTAACATGTGAATTTCTTTGATGTTGTATGAGCATTTGTACAAAGTACATTGAATAAAAAAATAACAATATCAATTTTTGCGGGAGTAGAATTAATTTAGTATTTGTTATATCAGTTTTTCGTGCGCTTATGCGTTAACTAAGATTAATAGTAATTGGATTTTGCCTATTGTATTAGACAAACATCCTTCCACCACATGGTTAAATTCTAAAACGATTATATTTCGTCTTTCAGATTGTGAAAATTATGATAATTCAACATGTGTCAAAAGTTCAGGAGGAAGATGAAAATATTTAGAGGAAAAGTAAAATGAAAACCTACCAAGATTTTGTGACAGGTATATTTCAAAATATTATAGAAAATACAGTGATCTTATTACCCTTGATTTTATAATGAAATTCACGAAGCCATTTTTATCAAAATTAATAGATATATACAGTAGGTACACGAATCAACATGGTTTAAACTAAATTTAAAATAATAAGTATCTTTTTAAGTAGTTGGAGAGTTTTGTTAGAATTTCTTTTAATTATAATACGTAAAAGTGATTTATTTCTTGCACTTGTACCTGATTATTTTATTTTAATTTCAGAAAGTGTGATGAGATCTCAGGTTGGAGACGGTAATGATACGCTTAATGTATGCCCAAGATCGACATAGTGGAGGAGGACGAAAGAAGAATACTAATGAAGATACATGAACATTGCTATTTATAGTTATAACAAAATATTCAGAATATTGTTCCATTTAAAATTCAGATCTAGATTCAGTTATAAAATACAAAGACAAATATACAATCAGTGAGTTGGATAGATGATTGAAAAATCCCAAACTCAGAGTGATCAGTTCAGTGGTGATATAAGAAAAAACACATGCATGGGTGTTTGCTATATAAAATGTCAGTGTTAATATTCAAGAAGGATTTTGTTTATCTTATTTCTAAAACATGCTTAATTAATACATGAAGCGTTATTAAAGTACATACCGTCAAGTTTAATAGTTTTAAAAAATATTATGTAAATCTTGCATTTGTTATAGTACCACATTTCTTTTTTTTTGTACTTGTGATTCCGAGTATAAAATAAATTCCTAAAATCATAAGAATGCTTATTTATTAACCCTATTAAAGAGCTTTAAAATGAAAAAAAAATCATATTCCAAAAGTTTTGAATGAGGTTAAATCATGGTCACAAAATTAGGTCAGATAAGGTTGGCATATGGTCAGATAATGGTCAGAAAAGGTTGGATTATGGTCAGAAAAAGGTTGGATTATGTCCAAATAATGGTCAGAAAAGGTTGGATTATGGTCAGATAATGGTCAGAAAAGGTTGGATTATGGTCAGAAAAGGTTGGATAAAGGTCATTTTATGACGTTGTATAGACGTCGGTTTCTGACGTCTAAAAAACTTTCAAATCCAACCTTCTGCCAACGTTTACCAAACGTCAGGGTCTAACGTCAGTACAACGTTGGTACAACGTCTTTTGTTTGCTGGGAACAGGACGTTTCGGCCCCAAACCAAATCGGCCCCTACAGGTGCAAAAATCGGCCCCTAGATGTTTCGGCCCTTTTCCACGAGACGTTTCGGCCCTTTTTTTATAACAGTTTTATTTAAGAATAAAAGGAATTTTTATACTTAAAATCGTTAAAAATCTTAGTATCTTGATTGATTGATGGCACACAAACAATTATGGCATTTTACTCCTTAATTGATAATCCATTATACATGTAGATCTATCAATCGCTTTTAAGAAAAATGCTTTTTTTAAAGGTGTTACAATAAATACACCTAAATAAAGACACTTAATCTTTTATTTATAAGACAGTTGACAAATGCAAAAACTTTTTGATTAACAAAATTAATTACAAATATACCTCAAAAATCGACCTTATTTGGTTGAACCTAATTTATTCAATATGTTTATAACTGTGATAACATAAAAAAAAGGTTTGATTTGAAAAACAAACCTGCATCATGTAGTACTGTACGCCAAGCTATGGTACAATTTCACGCAAACTGCACTTGTTTATCCAAACTATCTTTAGCTCCCGCCAGGTACGTCATTATGTGATCAGTGAATTTTACACAAACGGCTATTTAAAACAATATCATCGGTCTTGAAAATGGACATATAACATTGAGGTTTGTTGACGTTGATTTGAATTTGTCATATCAAATAAAGTATTTTTACCCCAAGCGTTGGTCCGCCCTAGTGATTTTCCTACTTATATAACAGACTCCGAAAAAAGGCCTCTTCCCAATTGAAATTTTCTTTAAAATCATGCAGTTTTCCCAAAAATCTGAACTTAAACCAGCTTTTTTACTTCCCAAATCAGCAATTGTAGCGATAATTTTTCCCAAAATCAAGAGGCTCAGGCCTCTTCCCAATTAAGTGAGAAAAATCACTGCAATATTTGTAACCAAAACTAGGTCCAGACCAAAAACACAGGTGATAATCCTTATATATACAGATTGTCACCTGTGTTTTTGGTCCTGACCTAGTTTTGGTCACAAATAAACCCAATATAGAGTCCAGGCACGTTACAACCCCCTTTGATTTTGCCAATGTTTTGTTAAAAATTGGGGAAAATGCATGACTAAAATTTTGCAATTATTAAATGAATGCAAAGAATCACTGTCAAGAATGGCATCTTCAAACATTTAAGCACCATAACAGTGAAGAAGTTCTTATTTTCAAATATTTTAGAATTTGTTATTCAATATTTTTATTTTGTAACTTTCAATTGGGATTTTTTTCCTATGGATTTGGAAAAAAATATACTATTTTCAGTTGGGAATACGACCGAATATCGGCTAAAAATAAGCAAAAAAAATCCCTGAATTGTTATTTGTTACAAAAAATTTAATTTTATCATTTAATTCTTGTACAAAATAATAGTTTTAGTTTTAAATATTCAGGGGAGGGGGAGTGGGTCTACATTCTCTATTAAGTCTCTATTATTTATATAAAAATGGTAGCTTGAAATTAAAACGTTAAATCCCAGAAAATAACGGTCAACAGCATATTTATAGGTCTTTTTTACTAACAATATGACACTAATAGTCTGCTTCTCCCCCTCAGGAATTTCTTCTCCAAAATTCCATATTCCCCTAAAAAATAATTTTCCCAGAGTAAAACTACAAAAAATATATATTTCCACTTAAAATAAACTGATACAAAAGTCATTTAATTTCTTCATTTAGTACAAAATCCTCAGTATCCATCTAATTATAGTTAGTATTACATCATTATGTCCTAGCATTCCTCATTATGAGAACCAAATATAATCTGAGCTGTACAGTTACGATATTTAAATGGTATATTGACAGAAACCAATCTATTTTCTTCCAAAAAATGTGGCACAATTGGAAAAATTATAACAAAAACGTGCAAAAAATTTGAAACAAATACTGTTCTTAACGTTTTTTTCCAAAGAGCAGAGTCCCTCACATCCTTCACTGATAAAAGTCAGGAAAATGTACAATATAATGAGTCTTAACCCATTACTTCATGAGCATTTTGTGAAAAATGGCTTTTTTCATTGAAAAGTCTCCCGTTACAAGTTCAAATTGTTATAATACTATAAAAAATGCCTCAACACTAATCAAACTTGGCACAAATGTTGACTGGACGATTGCCCTTGCAACAACATGCTCAGGCTTAAATTTTCTGTTACCATGGCAACGAGGGGACATCTCAAAATTGCCAAAAATCACTATTTTGCGTTGTTTTTTCCATCAAAATTGATTTAAAAGTGCTGCAACTTCTCAATGGATTGAGATAGAGTCAAATGCTTTTCAGCGTTGCTTACACGTTACCTTATGATCAATCTGGGGTCATTTATAGCCTCTCACAAGTCCAAAATTTTCTTGGTGATGAGGGGGACTCCGCCCCCCTTCAAACCCCCCTAACAGAAGGGGGCAGATCCCCCTTCTAGCAGCCCCCTGATGAATCTTTTGGTTGGGGGGCCGCGCCGAAAAAGAGGTCACTTTTTTTAACAACATTTCTCAAACAAAAACAAGTGTTGGGGCCTAAATAAGGCATTTTTTCACCATTTGAGACAACAAAAGGGGGGGGGGGGGTGAAAAAGGCGTTAAAAGGCGTGTATATAACGTAATGGGTTAAACAATCAACTTTCCATTGAGTGTATGTAACAACCGAAGATAGTGCATATATCAGCCAAAGACAGTACATGTAGCAGCCAAAGTTCTGGAGGGCAGCTGCCAAAAATGTTCTTAATTTTTTTACCAGAATTGAAACAGGTTTTTTTTTTCACAGGTTGGGGAAGCAGCCCAGCCCTTAATTTTGGGAAAAAATTACATGGTATATTTGCAAAAGGGGGAGAAAAAACTTGATGTAAATTCAATTTTTGCGGAAAACTGCATGATTTTAAAGAAATTTTCTTTGGGGAAGCAGCCCAGGTATACAGGCCCCTGTTATAGAAGGTAAAAAGGCCCTGTGAAATAACTCTTTGTCTTATTATATACATTGTACGATGTAGTACAGATTGTAGCACATGACTCAGCAGCTGTAGACTCCCTTATTTTAGATGAGTGGGTCATTTGTATATAATATCTGGCAAGAAGATACTCTGGAATATTTATCATAATTCATGATAGTAAGACCCCTGCTTATATTGAAAAATATACCCTGTTTTACCTGAAAATTTTGTTGAAAATAAGTAAATCTGTTTAATTTCTTAATTTATCATAGGCATGAAGTTGATAAAATCATCTGATTTCATGCTTGCTAAACATGTTACATGACCATGAGGTGTTCCTCCACCTATAATTTTAGTTTGAAAGTTGAATATATGTGACCTTGAAAAAAAAAAGTATCATTGTTTAATATATTTTGGAAGAAGATATCAATTTTGAGTGTGTTGCTGTAGAATTTAGTGCTTCAAGTTTTTGTTCAGATGAGCTGTAATTTAATCACAAAGGTGTTTATTTAAATAAAGTGATGAGTCATTACCCAATATATGTATGATGTTTTTATTATATACAATGTACTTATAAATGAAATATGGATAAAATAAAATGCGTTTTTTCATTTTCAGTATTTTCATGGTAAAAAATTATTTTTCACTGCATTGAAAAATATTTTCTGTATTTTCACTGGTGTCTTGCCGGACTACTTTCTTCAATTCAGCAAGTACGCAATATAAATGTATATAATAAACAGAAAATTCAAGTATTTTCTATAATTATTATATACAGGATTTATTTTCATCTTGTGATATGAAAATTATCATAATTCATTCCATTTTATGAAAATAAAGCCTGTATAATCATTGTATAATTTATGGAAAAAACTTGAATATCCTCTATATCCTGGTGAGTGCTGCCGGGGCCTTAAGTAACCCTTTGTTTGACAATCTCAGAGGTTTTAAATAATTAAGCATACACATAAGCTACGTCTCAAGAATTAGTCCCGACTCGTTGAAAAATGAGAAACCTTTTATTCATTTAATTTTTTGAATTTAACGATTTTCTTCTTTTTCAGTCGGCTGTTAGAGGGGTTCTTGTCAGAAAATGGATGAAAGAAGTAAAGCAGACTTTTGAAGAAACATTTCTTGAACTTGAGAAAAATGCTGAACTGAGTGTAGATTGGAAGACTGAGTTCCCGTGTAAACCAAAGGTATTATGTAATATTTAGTCAATTGATTAAGCCTTAGTATATTCAAAATTTATTTTATTTTGATTGTGTAGCAACCTGTAAGCTTATATACACGCTTATAAATCTATTCCCTGGAACCAACCTGGCAGTTCTAAGCACTGAGTGTAAAACTAAAGTTTCTGTCTCCAGGAGACAACAGCTTACCCTTCTTGGAATATGAACCCACACGGCTAGTGATCATTTGATTACTAGCTTGGTCCAGTAACACCTTGGCCATGCTGCCACACAAAATAATTAACTACCATGCTAAATATCTTGAATGGACTTGAACAGCTTTCTATCAGGACAAAACCATTCATTATATTTACATGTACGTAGCTCCTTGGTGGAAGTAGCACATTATTAGGCTTGATTGCTTTCTTTAATATAACATGTATTGGCCTTATGAAGACATCATTCTTAGTGATATTTTCTGAACTTGAAAAAAACAAAACAACATGCTTTACTATTTCACAAACTCATTTTAATGATTGACATGTAATAATTTATTTAAAGTCTTACAATATATGTTAAATTTACATAATTATGAAAATATTGTTATTTCCATGATATGCTTTTTGTTGTCAATTGTTTTGTCATATCATCTAGTAAAACAGAATTTACTAGTATTCCTAATTCATGATCTTTATCTCTGATTCATAAATAGGCTGTTAGAACAAGAGATAAATTGAAGAAGGAGAAAAGGAATAGACAAACAAATGTTAGTACTGAAAAGGTTAAACAGTTACAAAATTCAGAAGTAAATCTACAAAATGATATTCTTGACAATGAAACTGATTTTAAAGAGACACCTTCCACAGGAATAAAACACTTGGGAACTCTAGAGCATGTCTCGAGTGAAGGTGAAGGCGAAACCTTAAGTGAGATATCTGAGGCTGTGAAAGAAAGTCCAAAGTTTAACTCAGTTGAGATACAGACTAGCTTTATTGATAATAACCACCACTATCTACCCCAGAAAACTATTGAACATGACTGTGATAAGGAAAAAGATCAAGGTAACAATATCCTTGATGACTTAGATACCTCATGGAAAGATAGAGTTGAACCTTTTATTAGAAACAACTTTGGTGAAGTAAACACTGAAGAAGGCTTTGCTGCAAAAGACAATGAAGTTAGGAATGAGTTGCATTTAAATTTAGAAACTGACAGAGAAAGTGTCCAATCACAAAGAAGTAGTAAAAGGTCCTATAGAGACTCAGCAAGAGAAGAAAGTTCAGAAAATGATAAACAAGACTCGATAAGGAATGAAGTGTTTAGAGATAAAAGTAAATTTGAAGAAAGAATTACAAGAACCTCTGACAGGTCCGAAAAGTCTCAAGCCTCTTTAGGACAGAGGTTTGATCGTAAAGATGAATCTGTATATAGAGATCAAGGGTCTAGTCGTTCAGTGGACAGAAGTTCGAGGTCGGGTAGAAATGAAACTAAGGATTTGTCTGCAAGAAGTCCTTCAGCATCTGACAGAAACTCTCATAGATCTGGTAGGAGTAAGAGGTCTAGTGATAGAGGTCATAACTTAAATGAAACTGAAGGATTTTCACCAAGAGGTCAAAGGTCGAACTCTCCACGGTATTCTGACCAAAGAAGTCAGAAGTCCTATAGGTCTGAAAATCGGTCCGGTCATTTGAGTAACAGATTAGATGTGTCTGACAAAGAGAGACAAAATACACATAGGTCACAGGATGCTAAATCACATAGGTCAGATGGAGGCAAATCTTATAGGTCAGAAGAGGTTAAATCTCATAGGTCAGATGGCAGCAAATCTCAAAGGTCAGAAGATGCTAAATCTTACAGGTCTGACAGTGTTAAATCTCAGAGATCAAATTCGTCTGAGGGAAGACTAAGTCAAAAATCTGAAAGGTCACAAAGGTCATCAAGAAAAGATGAAGGTCAAAGGTCAGACAGAAGGACTTCTGAAGAAAAGATGGTAATATGTTTGTTGTACTAGCAGTGCTCTGTTTAATTAAGATAATAATAGCACCTTCTCATTATTGATTATAGTCGATGAATTTCATTAATTTCAGTTAATAGTTTCATTACAATATTTGATTAAATATTTATATATATTTTATCTCTATTGAAATCTTATTACTGGCTACTTTGGAAGCTTTTTTTTGTATCAAGTTTAATTTTAAAAATACACATTTCTATGTAGGTGCCAATGTAGGCATTTTTCAAGGACATGATATTTCAGTGGTATGTAAGATCAAAATCAGTTTGACTTTCTTACAAAATTCACTATAATTATACAGAATGCCAACAGAGCTGTAGTTGCAAAAGATAGTCTGTGTATATGGCAATGAATATTACTGTGAAAACTGTAACAGGATACTGAAAATTAAAAGTTTTTGAGAAATAAAATTGGTAGCATTTCTGAGGCGTAATTGGCCTTTAACAACTTTCCATGTATTAATTTGCACTATTTATCTCCTCTTAGCTTCCACTGGAGTCTAGAGCTAGCCCTGTCCCCAGCAAACTATCAGGAAGAGAACAGTTACAGGGAGATAATTCACGAGAGGGGAGACCACCTTTACATGATAGCACAACTCTTACAAATGTGACATCCGTTTGGGACAGTTTTAATTCTATTAGAGGTAAAATTTTCATGGTTAGATTTTTCTATAGACTTCTGAATATAATAATTAGAAAAAAAATCAATACAAATCAAATAGCTGAACAGTATTAAAGTTAGAATTTAGAAACTCTTGGGGAAAATATAATATGTTCACCTCACATTGTGATGTTTTATATATGCATGCACTCAAAAAAGTTCATCATATTCGTTTAATGCTGAGAGAGTTTGATGAATATTTTTTGTAAAAGTTACTTCCCACACAATTTACAATTCAGGGGAGGTCACTTTATGAGAGAGTTTGATTAATATTTTTTTCGTCAAAAAAGTTACTTCCCTTTGTGTCAAATCACAGTTTGCAATTCAGGGGAGGTCACTCTATGTTGACTTGTTAATTCCAGATGAGTTATGTCATCTTGATTGTAATCTTCATTTTGTTCTTAGTCATCAGCAGACTTGATTTTTTTTCTGACACATAAATTCTTTTGTTAACACATATATAACTACTTTTTTTCTATAGAGTCTCATGATGTAGAAATGTCAAAGTCACTACCCCAAGATGCTGGTCAGCTGAAAGAACTACGCAAGAATATCGCTATGGAGTTGCTATGGGTACAACAAGCTATAGATAGCAGGAAAAATGTAAGTTATTCAGGCTCGTGATTATATGCAAAATTTATTTTACAAAATTTTTGAAGAGGAAAATAAATATTTTACCTATGATCTTTATAATAAAGAGGTTGATTCCTCAAAACAATTTTAATTTTTATAACCCTAATAGAACTTCATAATTAATTAAATACCAGCAGACATTTTCACAAAAAATCTTACGATTTATCTTAAGTTTTTGACTTACGATAATCGTAAGTTAAATCTTAAGTCATTTTCACAAAGCCACTTGTAAGTTAAAATTTTATCTTAAGATAAAAAATTCACTTACGATAAATCTTACGATAAAAACATCCCTAGCAACGTTCATTTGATATTGATGTGCATGCTCTATCTTTGATTCCGGTTTTAAAATCAAGTAATAAAGAGCTTGAAATATCTTTTGAACATAATCAAATTTCAATAAGAACAAAAAAATGATTCAAACCGATATAATTTATATCTTGATTGAAGATAATTATAAATATCTAAAAGATTCAGATAGAAGGTCTGCTATGTTATTAATAAATAAAAAGGCACCACTAGTACATGCTGGCAATGAAATCGAACTAACCAAATGTACAAATTATTAGTTTTCAATAATACTACAGTATAGTTCACATTTAAACTATTCATAACCCTCTCCATCATGACGTCATCAAGTCATGACGTCACAAATGTTTATGTTGAAAAATAATTATACCTCAATTTGTGTAATTTATAGCATACTGTTTGCTTAATATATATTTGTCTTCCAACTTTTTGTTTGTTTTTATTCAGTTTAGGTAAGAGATACATGATATTTTACCCTTAAGAGAGAAAAAATTACACTTACGATCGTAAAGTTACGACAGATTTTGCACTTAAGATTTTCTTAAGATTTTTTGTGAAAAGGAGATTTATCGTAAGATTTCTCTTACAATAAAAAATTGTCGTAAGATATTTTGTGAAAATGTCTGCAGGGACGTATTAGTAATAAGCCACGGAATCATCTCGCATATAAAATTCACGGGAAGGTAACTTAAAAATGATATTGATGTCCCCCATTTATATGGCCGTACCTAGGGTGAAAGAGCATATAGATTCAAACTTTTTCATACATCGGAATGTCACACTGTCCGTTGATAAACTGGAATGATAGGTATCTGTGTCCTGTTGATACATTTCTAGTATTCATTTAAATACACATATGTGTTATGTTAGTCTAAGATAATGCAAAGTTTATGAAAATCCTCTGACACAGTGTTTATTCTGTCTTTATGAAAACTGTAGCCAATATCCTTAAACATATTTTATCCTGAAACCTTTGATCCAAAATTCTACAAAACTTTCAGTAATGTTCAGTTTTTAGCTCGACTATTCGCAGAATGATCGAGCTAATGTAGTCACCCATTTGTCGGCGTCGGTGTCGGCGTCGACGTCCCTGTGGTTCAGTTTTTGCGTGCAAGCTGGTATCTTCATAACTACTGAAGGGAATGGATTGAAACTTTACACACTTGTTCTCTGTGATTATCTAACATGATTGGCGCAAGTCCCATAACTCTGATTTGCTTTTTTGCATAATTATGCCCCTTTTTTGACTTAAAAATTCTTGGTTAAGTTTTTGCGTGCAAGCTGGTATCTCCATAACTACTGAAGAGAATGGATTGAAACTTCACACACTTGTTCTCTGTGATTATCTAACATGATTGGCACAAGTCCCATAACTCTGATTTGCTTTTTTGCATAATTATGTCTCTTTTTGTGTCGCCTTGAAAAGGCGACATACAGGGGTTACTTTTGTCGGCGGTGTCCTTGTGGGCGTCCCCTAAAGCTTGTACGGAGCATAACTCAGTCACCATAAGTATGATTGACTTCAAACTTGGTATGCATGCTTCTTTCAATAACCCGAAGTGCAGTGCACAAGGACCGGTACTCTGCAAATCTTAATTTTTGAGTTATTGCCCTTTGTAAATTTTCATACTTTAATTTTGTCCGGGCCATTTTTCTTCAACTATAAAAGCTTTGGACTTGAAACTTCATAGGATGATAGATCTTATTAAGAAGAAGTGCAGTGCACAAGGACCGATACTCTGCACTTCCTAATTTTTGAGTTATTTCCCTTTGTTAATTTTCATACTTTATTTTTGTCCGGGCCCTTTCTCCTAATGTATAAAAGCTATGGACTTGAAACTTCATAGGATGAAAGATCTCATTAAGAAGTGCAGTGCACAAGAACTAGTGCTCTGCATTTCTTATTTTTTGAGTTATTGCCCTTTGTTAATTTTCATACTTTATTTTTGTCCAGGTCATTTCTCATAAATTATAAAAGGGACTTGAAACTTCATAGAATGATTGATCTTATTGATAAGAAGTGCAGTGCACAGAAACTGATGCTCTGCACCTATTATTTTTTTGAGTTATTGCCCTTTGTTAGTTTTCATATTTCATTTTTGTCCTGGCCATTTCTCCTAAACTATATTGTTCACAAGGCAACACATCCGACTCGCGGAGTTCTAGTTTGACTTAAAAATTCTTGGTTAAGTTTTTACGTGCAAGCTGGTATCTCTATAACTACTGAAGGGAATGGATTGAAACTTCACACACATGTTCTCTGTGATTATCTAACATGATTGGCACAGTCTCATAACTATGATTTGCTTTTTTGCATAATTATGCCCCTTTTTCAACTTAGAAATTCTTGGTCAAGTTTTTGCGTGCAAGCTGGTATCTCCATAACTACTGAAGGGAATGGCTTGAAACTTCACACACTTGTTCTCTGTGATTATCTAACATGATTGGCACAAGTCCAATAACTCTGATTTGCTTTTTTACATAATTATGCCCCTTTTTCGACTTAGAAATTCTTGGTTAAGTTTTTGCGTGCAAGCTGGTATCTCCATAACTACTGAAGGGAATGGATTGAAACTTCACACACTTGTTCTCTGTGATTATCTAACATGATTGGCATAAGTCCCATAACTCTGATTTGCTTTTTTGCATAATTATGCCCCTTTTTCGACTTAGAAATTCTTGGTTAAGTTTTTGCGTGCAAGCTGGTATCTCCATAACTACTGAAGGGAATGGCTTGAAACTTCACACACTTGTTCTCTGTGATTATCTAACATGATTAGCACAAGTCCAATAACTTGTTTGCTTTTTTGCATAATTATGCCCCTTTTTCTACTTAGAAATTCTTGGTTAAGGAAATATCTCCATAACTAATGAAGGGTTTGTGCCTTTTTTTGAACAATTTTATGCATTTTATAATATAATAAAGCAGTGATTAACTCGATAAAACATCTTATTAACAAGCCTATGTACCTTTTTGGACAATTTTATGTATTCATATAGGTAAGCATTATTATACTCAATGAAGCACACTTGTGACAACTTTTCGAATAGTTGAGCGATACTGTCCTCCGACAGTTCTTGTTATTGACTCCTCTTCACTCTTCAGTGTTGGTCTATGGCTGACTTGTTATATGATAATCCCTGTCTTCTAGTCACTAGGTAGGAACCACTTTTGTTTCAAATACATGAAATACAGACATGGACTTAAGTTTATGTGAGTTTATGTCCGCCAAAAATCTTAAAAGTTTGCACTTTCAGAATGTCTTAGGACATGCACTCATACCGCCTGAAATGAAATTCATCTTTGAACATTGACATCTTGTGAGCCAATACATCATAGATATGAGCACATATGTAGCTGAAGTTTCAGTTGTTATGTTTTAATACTTGACCTTTTACATGTTACTTTAGTTATGATAAATAGTTAACCGGCATTATGACTAAATTGTTTTTGTTTTTGTCATATTTTCAGTACTTAAAGTTAAAGGGTCAGATGTGAAAAAGATGGACACAGGGGTGATAAAAAATGTGAAAAAGATGGAAACAGGGATGAAAAAAAAATGTGAAAAAGATTGACACAGGGATGAAAAACTAGGTTGTTTTAAGACTAATAGTAAATGTGTAATGCAGGGAACCAGATGACATTTCAGATTGAGGGAACCAGTATAAACGTATCATGCTTTGAACCAACTGTCTGCTTGACTGTTGAGTCAGACCAGGAATATATCATGTACACAATCAACTGTTTCTTGGCTGTTGAAAGGCATTAACAATGAAGTAAATAAGGGCTTTAACTTAAATGAATCAGAAGTAGAGAGCCAGCTGCCATGCATAGAACTAAACAACAAGTGAGAGGACCAAGATCAATATATTAATTAGGGAACCAGCTGCTATTTAAGTGTTTTAATTCTTTGTAACCAGAACAATGAATTATGGAACCAATATATAAACAAAGGAACCAGCTGTTACTTAATTGTTTAATTCAATGGAAACAGAAAGCAAATTAGTGAACAAAGATTGATATATAAAGTATGGAACCAGTTGCTTAATAGCTGTTAGTTTGTAAATCATTTGTTTTGAGTTCGATTGTATACATGGTATAGGAGGCTATAAGCTTACAGAATTTCCTTGAATCTGTTCCTGGAACCAACCAGTATTACTAAGCAATGAGTTAAGCGTCTTGCTTAAGGAAACAACTGCTTACCCCTGACAAGCTTTTGGGAGTGGTTGCCTAGTGGTTAAGGTGTCTGCCTCTAAAGCCAGTGATCATGGGTTCAAGCCCCTATCAGGTCACAACCATGTTTCTTCTTATAACACTAGTACTGGTTGGTTCCAGGAAGCGGACTCGAAAAAATTATAGAAGTTGAAAGAACTTGTTTCGCAGTCAAGCTTAAATAACTATATTTAAACCAAGCAAGCTTCAAAACGACTGAATGTCTTCCTTTTGATATAAGTAGGACATATACATCACAGTGGAATTCCTGCACATATAAGCGTATTCATACTTTCTACTTGAAGAAATTTGAAAGGGAAATTAGCATTGTTTGGAAAGAAAAAGTAAACTGATGAACACTGATTGAACTTTAAATATTTGGTTAAAGGGATACTCGGGCAAATTAATGACAAAAATATAAAACTTATCTTATGTACTCGAGTCACGCTCAAATGACATTTGTAAAAGTCCCAGCATGAATTTCTGTATAAATTCTATATATTTTGGATTTGAAGCATGCATGTATCTATACATGTTGAACGAAATATTTATTGCTGCAGAATCACCAAGCAGTTTTAAAACTAGTCATGATACTTGAACAAACCCTGGAAGTTACAATAACAGATACTGTGGATATAGTATGATTGAAACAAACCTAAATCATTCATTTGACATATTCTTTAAAGTTTCCAGAGTTCAAAGTGGCAACTATTGTGAAATCTTAATGCTCTAACCTGACCCACTTGGGACAGGTTAGGAAACCATCATTTAAATATTTATAAGGATAAAAGTTTTGTTCTTGTGACTGCCTAGTGTATTCATTTTTATATGCCCGAAAGAATTTCGGGCATATTATGTTAACCCCCGGGCGTCTGTCCGTCCGTCCGTCTGTCTATCCGTTCGTCCGTCTGTCCGTCCGTCCGTTAGCAATTTGGTTTCCGGAGCATAACTTAAGTTCCATTTGGCCCACAACATTCAAACTTCATAGGATGATTGTCCATATTGAGTAGAAGACCCCTATTGATTTTGGGGTCACAAGGTCAAAGGTCAAGGTCACTATGACCCTAAAACTGAAAACAGTTTCCGGAGCATAACTTAAGTTCCATTTGGCCCACAGTGTTCAAACTTCATAGGATGATTGTCCATATTGGGTAGAAGACCCCTATTGATTTTGGGGTCACAAGGTCAAAGGTCAAGGTCACTATGACCTTAAAACTGAAAACAGTTTCCGGAGCATAATTTAAGGTCCATTTGGCCCCAGTGTTCAAACTTCATAGGATGATTGTCCATTTTGGGTAGAAGACCCCTATTGATTTTGGGGTCACAAGGTCAAAGGTCAAGGTCACTAAGACCTTAAAACTGAAAACAGTTTCCGGAGCATAACTTAAGTTTTATTTGGCCGCCAGTGTTCAAACTTCAAAGGATGATTGTCCATATTGGGTAGAAGACCCCTATTGATTTTGGGGTCACAAGGTCAAAGGTCACTATGACCTTAAAACTGAAAACAGTTTCCGGAACATAACTTAAGTTCCATTTGGCTGACAGTGTTCAAACTTCATAGGATGATTGTCCATATTGGGTAGGAGACCCCTATTGATTTTGGGGTCACAAGGTCAAAGGTCAAGGTCACTATTACTTTAAAAACTGAAAACAGTTTCCGGAGCATAACTTAAGGTCTATTTGTCCCACAATATTCAAACTTCAGAGGATGATTGTCCATATTGGGTAAAGACCCCTATTGATTTTGGGGTCACAATGTCAAAGGTCAAGGTCACTATTACTTTAAAACTGAAAAAAGTTTCCAGAACATAACTTACTTTCTATTTGGCCCATAGTGTTGAAACTTCATAGGATGATTGTCCATATTGGGTAGAAGACCCCTATTGATTTTGGGGTCACACGGTTAAAGTTCAAGGTAGCTATTACCTCAAAACTAAAAACAGTTTCCAGAGCATAACTGAAGTTCCATTTGGCCCACAATATTCAAAGTTTATAGGAGGATTACTATTTCAAGGAGGTAATACTTTATTTAATTTATGTAATGTCTTACAAATGCTTCATCCTTAGAAAAGAAAAAAAATACTTTCGGGCATATAATGCTCCGCCTAGCGGTGCTCTTGTTAGGTCATCAACAGATAAATGAATGAAAAATTCAAAACGAAGAAATGAAAATTTTGCCTGTGTCTCCCTTTAAAATGTTTTTCTAAAACTTTTAAAGTTTTATGCTCCCACCAAATAATTGAGGGTGCATGCTGTCACCGCTTTAATCTTCTGTAGTACTGTTATGTGTTGAGGTCACTTGGTTCAAGGTCAGATGTGTTTCATTTTTAGCTCAGCTTTTTTTTTTGGTGATACAGTGACTGCCATTCATCCAATGTGTCACTGCTATGTCCTTCTGTAGCATGGTCACTGGTGTCAAGGTCACACTTGCTGAAAATAGATTTTTACACTTTTGCTCTAACAGCCTCTTTTTATTGACCAATGTGTTTCATTTTAACATGACTTTTTCGATGATAAAGTTACTTCATTTGCCCATTGCGGGTTAGTTCTGTCTTAGATAGAGATTAGGGATTTTTGTTTTACAACTGTCAATGTACGACTGTTCTATGTTTAATCCTTTTTAGTTTACCTGACCATGAAGTGGTCAAGGTGAGGTATAGTGATGGGGCTATGTCCGCGTCTGTCATCGTGCGTCGTCAACAATTAAGTTGTTCACACTCTAGCAGTCACAGTTTTTATTGGATCATAATCAAACTGTGTCAGAATGCTTATCTCAATGAAATACAGGCCAAGTTCCAATATCGGTCAACTCGGGTCAAAAACAAGGTCACAGGAGCTAAAAATAGAATTTTTTTGTTAACAATAGCGACTGCAGTTTTGCTCCAAATATCCCGGAAATTGGTCAGGTAGGTTTTTTTAATAATATCTAGGTCAAGTTCAAATATGGGTCATCTCCAGTCAAAAACTAGGTCACAGGAGCAAAAAATAGAAAAATCTTGTTTACACTTTAGTGTCTGCTTTTTCATCCAAATATCCTTAAAATTGATCAGGAAGGTTGTTTGATGATTTCTAGGTCAAGTTCGATTATGGGTCATTTCAGGTCTAAAACAAGGTTACACAAGCTAAAAATAGAAAAATCTTGTTAACACTATTGTGGCTGCAGGTTTGATCCAAATATTCTGGAAATTTGTCAGAAGGTTGTTTTAATGATTTCTAGATAAAGTTCAAATATGGGACGTCTCTGGTAAAAAACTAGGTCACAGGAGCTAAAAATAGAATTTATTTTTAACACTCAAGTGGCTACTGTTTTGATCTAAATATTTTGGAAATTGGTCTTTAAATTTGTTTTGATTATGTCAATTAGGTCAAGTTCAAATATGGGTCAACTGGGGTCAAAAAACTAGGTCAAAGGAGCTATAAGAAGAAAAATCTTGTAAACACTTTAGTGGCTGCTTTTTTATCCAAATATCCTCGAAATTGATCAGGAAGGTTGTTTTGATGATTTCTAGGTCAAGTTTGAATATGGGTCATTTCAGGTCTAGAACTAGGTCACAGGAGCCAAAAATTGAAAAATCTTCTTAACACTAGTGGCTACTGTTTTGATCCAGATATCATGGAAATTGGTCTGAAAATTTGTTTTGATGATGTCTAGATCAAGTTCGTATATGGGTTACCTGGGGTCGAAAACAAGGTCATAAGAGCTAAAAATAGAAAAACCTTTTTAATTCTTTAGTGGCTGCAGTTTTGATCCAAATATTTTGGAAATTGGTTAGGATAATTTTTTAAATGATTTCTAGGTCAAGTTTAAATATTGGTCATCTCCGGTCGAAAAACTAGGTCACATGAGCTAAAAATAGAAAAATCTTGTTAACACTTTAGTGACTGCAATTTTGATCCAAATATTTTGAAAATTAGTTAGGAAAATTGTTTTGATGATTTCTAGGTCAAGTTTGAATATTGGTCGTTTCTGGTCAAAAGCTAGTTCACAGGAGCTAAAAATAGAAAAATCTTGTTTACACACTCTTATGGCTTCAGTTTTGATTCAAATATTATTGAAATTTATCAGGAAGGTTGTTTTGATAATATCTTGGTCAAGTTCTATTTTGGATTGTCTCCGGTTAAAAACTAGGTCACAGGAGCTAAAAAAATAAAACTTGTTAACACTTTAGTGGCTGCTTTTGATTCTAATATCCTGATCAGGAGGGTTATTTTGATTATTTTTAGGTCAAGTTCGAATATCGGTCACCTGGGGTCAAAAACTAGGTCACAGGAGCTAAAAATATAAAAATCTTGTTAAGACTTTGGAGGGCGCAGTTTTGATCCAAATATTTTGGAAATTAGGAAAGTTGTTTTCATGATTTCTAGGTCAGGTTTGAATATGGGTCGTCTCTGGTCAAAAAGTAGGTCACAGGAGCTAAAAAAAGAAAAATCTTGTTTACACTTTAGTGGCTGCAGTTTTCAGTGGTTTTTAATAAAATATTGAAATTAATCAGGAAGGTTGTTTTGATAACATCTAGGTCAAATTCGAATATGGGTCATTTTAGGTGTAAAACTAGGTCACAGGAGCTTAGAATAGAAAAATCTTGTTAACACTCTAGTGGCTGCAGTTTTGAGCCAAATATTCTGGAAATTTGTCAGGTTGTTTTAATGATTTTTGGATCAATTTGAATATAGGTCGTCTCTAAAAACTAGGTCACAGGAGCTAAAAATAGAAAACTCTTTTTAACACTCTAGTGGCTACTGTTTTGATACAAATATCCTGGTAATTGGTCTGAATTTTTTTTTTCATTATTTCTAGGTCAAATTTGAATTTGGGTCACTTCAGGTGTAAAACTAGCTCACAGGAACTAAATATAGAAAAATCTTGTTATTTCTCTTGTGGCTACTGTTGTTATCCAAATATCCTGGAAATTGGTCTACAAGTTTGTTTTGATGATTTCTAGGTCAAGTTCAAATATGGGTCACATTGGATCGAAAACTAGGTCACAATGCCCAAATATGGATAAACCTTGTTCACGCTCGAGGTCACAATTTTTACTCAATTGTCATCAAACTTGGTCAGGATGCTTGTCTAAGACATTGCTCGGATGAGGTTGATAGGTCAGTGGAGAAATCTAGGGCTATCTTGGCTCTCTTGTTAAAGAATATTTAATAGATAAAATAATTGTCTTATTGTGATTGTTCTTACTCTTTGTTTTATACAAAGCTTGTATTAGAAATGCTATTTATTTGTAATACATAATATTATATTTATGTAGATTTGTTTGTGTTTTACTTTGATCCTATTAAGCGAATAACCAATGATACTGTTGAATTCATTATCTGTTGTTTTTTAGCTCACCTGTCATAAATTGGCATGGTGA